GCGACGAGCTCCAGGTCCGACTACATCCAGGACTCGGGGACGGGCCCGTGGTCGGAGGACTTCTCATGAGGACTTCTCCTGCTGGGTGTCTTGCACACAGGACTCAGTGTTCCTCCTCTTTTCCTGGACACAACGGGCGTTCCCATTAACACCAGCGCTACGCTGAAACTCGGCTCATTCCCGCGTGCCTCTCTTCGTCTCGGCCGTCCGCTCACTTTGGGGCCTGTTAAAACCGGAGACCAACAGAGTGCCACTTCAGACCGCTATCAAACAGGAAACGGGCCTTACTGTATTACCCTTCCTCACCCCCGAAGGCGTGTGTGATTTCTGCCGCTTGAACGTGCCACAGCATGAAACAAAGTGCATTTGACCGCAAAGGAAAACATTCATACATGAATGTCCATAGACGCACGGAGCTAGCGGAGGATAAAGATAGAAATACAACAAAAACTGGGCGGGGGGGATTGCTGTAAAACTTGAGTTTTGAGTCTTAGTGAAGAACTTTCCCTTTTTCCTTCCCCAGTCGGAGTTGTATGTTGGAGGGGCAGCGAAGGGGGAAGGCCCAGAAGGAGCGTTTGATTAAATCTGCGGTTGACGTGTGGGACAGGTGAGATTGATGAGGTTCCTCTGAGCTTCACACTGTGCGGAGAGCGGGGGTACAGGAACAGAACACTGCAGTGTAGCAGGACAGGGCTCGGGGCCCGCTGGGGGCCCGCTCGCGCAGTGGGGTCCCTCGGCTGATTAATGGGACTGGAGGCCCTTCAAAAACAGGCCCTCCCCCCGGCCCCGCAGACGGGGCCTGACAGTCCTCCAAAAATAACCTGGCAGGGGTGGCAGCCCACGGCCTCCGGCCCTAACAGGCTTCTGAAGGAAGCACCAGAGTCTGGGGGGACATGAGCGGCTCCCGCTCGGAGCCGGAAGCCGCTATCAGCCTCATTATATACTGAACATTAAAAACCTTCTCTGGTCAGCTGCCTATAAAAGATTTTATCCATAACAGTTTTAAAAAGAATGTTTTTTACCGCTGAAGAATGCCAGCCTCGCCCAGATTGGCTAAACCGGACAAGAGAAAAAATTATACAAGAGGACAAGTTTCTTTTTTCTATTGGCAACACCCAATACCATTAAAGTTGGTTTTGGGGATACAATAAGAGTTTTTAAAGAACGTGCATAAATATTTCGGTCCAGATTTTGCTGCTATTTACTACAGTTGAGGTTTTTAATTCTACGGTGACGCTTGTGTCAGTTAGCATTCAAGATGCTCCCTTTTGTGTTTCCAGCAAACAGAGTAAAGGTTTCTGTTCATCTAAAACTTTATTTTAAAGAGTCTCTGTTCAGTGCAAAACTGTGCCGGTCAGATTTAATTCAAAGAAATATAAGCGGGTGTGTCCAGGTCCAGTGTTTGTCCAGGTCCAGTTTACACAGCAGGCCAATGCACCCAAATCCAAATGTTTTGCCCATATTTGAGGTTTTCATGGCAGTCATGGCTCAACTCTGATCTTTTTACCTCCCCATAAAAAAATAAAAAACATAGATTTCTGCCACTTCCGTATGCAGAATCGGTTACATATCTGACTGTTTTCAAAGCCAAAACAATCAGACGCTGTTTTTGATCTGATTGTGTCATTCATGTGAGACAATCGTCATAATAAACATGTCATGTAGAAATGAAACTTTGAAAATCAAAAATTACACAACTTCATCTTTCAAAATGTTTGCTTTAGTCGAAGCATTGATTAGTTCTCCAACTTCACATTACTTTTGTGCGCTCGCATATGGAGCAGCGGTGAAAAAGCATTAGCTTGTGTTTTTCTTTTTGGCTGCTTGTGTTGGATCAACAGTTTTCTTGTTTTGTTTTTCTCCACCTCCTCCAGTGTTCCAGTCCACACTTCAGTTTTTACTCAACTCAGGAAACAAATGACTGACATTAAAGCTAATACCTGAATACATACACACACACACATAAAAAAAGGTCCCACCACAGCAAAAAAAAATTTAAAAGAAGAAGAAGAAAAAAAACACCTCAAGTGCACACGTCGTAAATTTATCAGTATGTAATTATGGTAACACTCAGGGCAAGCCTCCACCTCCAACATCTCAGTGGAGGTTAGTCATTTCCTCCTGCAAAGGCAGCAGAATTGTGACCGGAGTGGCAGCTCAAAAGGCACAGTATCGCATGCTCGGTTTGTTTTAATTAAAACTCCGACGGTCAGGAGAAAAGCTCAGGCAACACAACCGAAACGTTACGGGGCTCCCAGAGCTCCGCCGCGGCTGCTTTTCTACGGACCGGTTCTGTAATTCGACTTAGTGAGATGAATTTTCAACAACAGGAATAAGGAGGCACGCGGGACTGCTGCTGAGAGAGGGAAAAAAAAAAAAAAAGGCTGAACGGAGAATGATTACGACAGACTTAGTTACACTGGAGGGACTGCTGTGAATTAGCTGGCTTTTCTGACAGTTGAAAATAAATAGGGCAGTTAATGAACATCCTCAAAGGAGAGGCCACGTTTCCCCCCACTCTCGCCGGCCTCTCCCATGTGGCGCAGGAGCTGCTCTAATGGTTTTAGCTGACACCCGAGTAACTGAATTTGAGGCTAACTGGGGGGAGAGAGAGAGAGGCAAATTAGAAGTCACTTCCTCTTTCCTGTAGCCTGCAGCTGACATGACTGATATCAGCCAATAACTGGACCACAGGAGAGAGATATCAGAACGCAGGGCTGTAAGGTCGAAGACACAAATAGCTGGCCTTCGTTGGGACGCTGATTGTTAAGATGTTTTCACTTGCTTCAAATGGTAAAACGGTGAACGTGAAGTTTTCCCTTCAACTGGAAATTGTTTTCATGAATGTAGGCAGTTCCTTTCGGGTTGAAATTTTACTTCAAGTTGGGTCGAGGGAGGATGAGCAACATCTTTCTTCTTTGACTAAAAGAAAGTCGCTTTAGAAGTGGTTTTGGTCCAGCTGAGTTTATAACTCTTTTGTTTGTTTGTTCGTTTGTTTTGGTTTTGGAAATTTTTGTCAGCCTTTACGCCGAGAGCAAAGGGATTATTGTGTCAAATGTTAAAGGGTCAATATTATGCATTTTCCAATATTATTCATTTTCCACAATCAACTACACAACTTCAGATGTTACAAATTATGTATAAAATATAACTTTAAAGTATTTGACTTTGCAATGTAATGCCTCTGTCTCTTTAAGAAACTCCTACTCTTTCTGAAGCTATGCCTTCAGGAAGTCATCACAACACGGCTCCTCCATTAAACCTTGACCAACGTTTTTCCAGCGTTTTCACTGAGAAGAAGCTCCTGTGTTGAGCTGAGCTGATGCCCAGCTCCACCAAGTGTTTGCTAGTTGCTGCTGGCTAGTCTGAAGGAGCTGAGTGGAGAAGTCATGGGGGAAGATGGAGGATCGGAAACTTGGAAACTGCGGCTCAGAGGATGCACTGCGCCTTGAAGGCGGGGCTAGGGTCCCCCCCAGGTGTTTTGCACAGATGAATGGTTGCCATGGGAGATTAAAAGATTTCTCAAACACGCATAAAAGAATCAAGGCAACACTCCACGTATGATTTTGATGAGGGAATAACTTTAGAACTTGATGGAAAGCTGAAAAGCGTTGATTTTGCACAATACAGTGCTTGACGTTCAGTTGCCGTAGCGCTTAATTTAAGATATTGTTCAGGATTCTTCTGTCACCTCCTGGTCATCAATGCACTCCTGTAGTAATTTTCACGAGTCAGTGACTCCGGTTCCACAGCTCCATGTTTTCTCCCTCTATAATAATTTTTATTGTGCTCCTCTTGTGAACTCGAACACATGCGCTTTTGTGAAGGATAAACTCACAGCAATAAGTTGTGTTAACTTTTCAATTAATTTTGTCATATCTCCATGAGTTGTGTAAACGAGGGTGTTAAGGTGGGAGCGGAGAATAACATACCAAAGATCAAACTCTGTTTAATAACATTCATTATCAGATCAGATATTTTGTTCCTACAAGCTGATTAAATACTTCTAACGTAAAAGATGTAGTTATTTTTAGGTGATGAGAGTGAAAACACTATAGAAATGTGTACTTGTTCCACGAGGCGAGGACCGTTCTTGCATAATGAGAAAAAATTACAGTATTAAATTATAACGAGTCACAATTTAAGAACGAGGAGCTATCAGAAGAACTTGTAAAACAATATTTAGACAATTTGTCTTGTTAAATCGACTTAATGATATTCGCTTTCTGAGTTAAAATTCGAGACGATTCTCTGGTTGTGTCTTCAAGGCAGAAGATCAACCTTAACTTTCAAATTGTACCACTTTTAAGAGTTTCACAGTGAATTGCTTTGGGTGTTGTTTTGTTGTTGCTTTTTTCATCTGCAACCTAATTTTCTTTTCTTTTCTCTTTTTTTAATATGTTGGGCTCAACAAAATAGGTCAGTTTTACCATGTTAACGTCACAGTGAGATGTCTGTTTCCAGACTTAAAATTTAATAATAGAAAACCTTGTCATTTTTCGCTAAAGTCATGATGAAATTTGCCGAGCATACAAGCATATTCTTATAAATAATAATTGAATCGGTTTATTATTTTCCGGAGTGCCTTTTAAAGCGGGGTTTGGGTTAAATGTTTTCTCACATGTGTGTAAATTCACATTGCAATGAATCCACGTTGCTCCGCAACATAAAAACATGACGTCAACCTGTCACGTTAAACCCCGTGGACGGATATTTTTCAGCGTTTTTAGCAACTACAAGTTCGTTTCTAGACTTTCGCTGCTTTAAAACGCCTCCAAAGGTTGTCGCCGTTGTGGCGGTGCTTCCACAGCCCAGTGCTGGCAGCACGTTTAGCGGAGACTTCTACCGCCAACACAGCTCACTGCTCTGTTTACAGCAGACAGGCGGGATGACCTGCTGCCGACAGCACCAGTGTTCTCTAACCTTAAAAGAAAAACTCGCGCTAATGCATACTTTTCTCACAGCCGAGACCAGAACTGCCTTCGCTCTACGACACGTACCTTGATTTCCGGGCTTCCTGCAGCGCAGAAGCGCCTTTTCGGGGGTTTAAACCTCTGAATGAAGCAGATGAAGTGTTTCAAAGTGGTCCGCAAGGGGAGCGCCATGTTGGAATGTGAGTTCACTCTACGGTGGCTGTGAAAGGACAATAGACTCAACCGCGTTTCAGTTCCGAAGGAAAACAGCCGAGCAGGAGTTTTGGCAGGATCCAGCAACCTAGAACCGTGAATGCTATTTACCGATAAGAGAGGGGGAAAAAAATCACAAAATAAACCAGGAAGCAAGGCCAAGCTAGCCAACAGAAATAAACATAAACAAAAGAGGAAGTTGAATATATAATACAGTTTCTTTGGCGCACAAATAGTAACTGACGAATAAAAAAATAATGCTGTGTTAAATTCAATAAAGTCTTCACTTAACTTCAAAGTTTTCTCTTTTTTATGCTACTTTTCTTTTGCATCACCCTGTTTCCTAGCTCACCAACTGGCTGCATGTTCTGTTGTCAGTATGCGTTTCACACCGGAAGATAAATGGTGGCGCACAAGCTGCTTTTTTTTTTGGTTACCTTTAAGCATTTTATTTGTATTTGGTTTTGCTGTTTTGTTTTAAAGAAATGAACCATAGTCTATATTATAGGTAAAGGTAAACAACATAAAAATCACTTTAATCTAATTTATGACTTAAAACTAGTTTTGTTAATGATGACAATAATAATAATAAATAATTTATTAGTAGTAGTTGTAGTAGTAGTGTCAAGAAAAATGGGATATATTGCCATATATTATAATTTATTGACTTTGTTTTATTTTCATAATAATATAATTATGATTATTGTCATCCTTAGAGTACCCCAGCTAGCACTGAACGTCCTGTCAATGTCCGCTGAACGTTCGCTCAACGTTTTCCAGACTTTGAAATGAAACGCCATTAAAAGTCCGGCGGACTTTCAAAATACTTCATTTAGTTCACATGTTCTTAAATACAGTGAGCTAAAATGAACTGAACTAGTAGCATGATAGTGCATTCAGCAACTCCAGCAGTAGCCATCGTAGTATCTTTCTTCCGGGAGTCGTATATTTGCAAATTTGCTCAAATGTTGTCGCGTGAACCAGATTTGTTTTGCAAAACTAATTGCTGTGACATAGAGTCAAATTAGACACATTTCTTTTTCAACAACAGCAACAAAAAACCTCTTTCCCTAACCCATCTGGGTTCTCTCGCTGAACTCCAGACTCCTTCTCTTTGTTCCGTATGCGTGTCTGAGCACCGGGTAGCCTATAGAAGGCGAAGATAATGCAACTCCACCGCTCCCATCGCAACATTTACAGTAGGTTATAGAAATGTGTCAGACATGTGTGGTTTCCTCGTCTTCGTGTCAATTAACCGGTGTTGTGTCTGGCTGCCTTCTCGACAAAGCAAAGCGACGTTTCCCAGGCAGCAGCTGCAGGACTCCTCTCTCCTCTGCACCTCAGCTCATTACAAAGTGGCGATATACATGCTACGAGTGATTATGCTCCACGCTGGCTAAGGTTACAACATGTTTGCAGGGCACAACCGGCTGCTCTCGGTCGCTGGGACCTCTTGTTTTTCGGAACATCTGCTCCTGATTTTTTTTGTTCTCCCTCCCCTCCACCTTTGTGCATCTGGTTGCATTTGCAGAACAAAATACTATGGACTATCTTTCCATATTCATTATTATTTCCTCAGGCACCGTGTCGGGGCTCTTTGGTGCGTCAGATTTGGACCTAAGCTGGTATGTTCTCTCACGCCTGGTCCATGTGAGACCTAGTTTTGGGCCGGCCAAGAAAGACTGGTTGGGAAATGGGCTTAGATGTCGACTGGTGTGTATGTGTGTGTGTGTGTGTGTGTGTGCAGAGACATCATGCTCCTGTTTCCTGGCCACCCTGTAGATGCCGGTCCTCTTGCTTCCCCTTTCTTTTCCATCTCTTGCCATCACATCTTTGTGAATCTCATTAAACAACTACTCAGGTAATGTGATATGTGGAACAAAGTAATGCACAGATAAAAGCTGCTGCTGAGATCATCTAAAGCAGGTCCAACACAACGTGGTGATGTAAGTGGTGAAAGTCGGCTCTTGTTGGATAAGAAATCATATAAAGGGCATTGTAGATAAAAAAATAAAATAAAAAAAATGGAGGAGATTTTGCCTCCCCACCCCCAAAAAGCTGAGATTTTCTGGAAAAAACAAGGTAACCTCTAAGTGTGAAAAGTTCCGTATTTGCTCGGAAATATTTTTTTAAACACAGAAATTTCCACTTTATTAATATTATTATTATCTTTAGAAAATTTCGAGACTCATCTCAGACAGTTTCTTGGCAGAAATTAATTTGTACTTTTTTTTTTTAATCAATTATAGCCCTAATACGGATTTGTACTTTCAGCACAGCCTAAAATATGGAACATTTTAGAATAATTTCCTGTATAACATTTTGTTACATGACGACATCTAACTCTTCACAAAGTCTGTTTAGAGGCCAAACGAGAACTTTTCAGTCCACAGATACAAGCTTACTAAGAGCTGAGTATTGTTTTGAGCTAAATGACAGAATAGTTAAATAGCTTTTTTAGAAGAGAGAACAGCGAAGCAGCTGTGGATGTAACCGATGTTTAAATATTTGTATTCACTCCTGTTTCATCATGGCTGTTCTACTTTATGTCTTCTAGATTTCTGCACATAATCTGGAGCAAATAACTTTAAAAAACACACACACAAAAAACTGTCTGTCATTCAATTTGTAGCCGAGAAAAAGAAACAGAAACTCCGCAGTCTGATCTCCAGGGAGCGCCCCGAGGCCGACCAGGTGATGAGTGAAGATTTCGTGCTTTCGTTACAAATCTTTGCCACTTTTCACCAATAAGGCGATTCATTTTACATGCTAATCCAGATCTCCGTAGGAATGTTTCTCCCTAAAATCCGTATCGAAAGGATCTTTGGGGATCCTTTTCTGGTTTCCTTTGTCTCATTTGGTGTCTTCTTTTTTTCCCCCCCTTTAGTATTTTTTTCCTGGAAAAACCCCGCCCATTTTATCATTTTGCTTTCTGTATTCTTCACTGGAATGTTAATCTTCCAAGCAACAGTTTTATGCAACGTTTACAGACTTGTGGAATGGACAAAAACAGTCTGTGCATCGATGTTGGAAGGAAAGTCCTTCTGGTGGTGACCGACAGTCCACCTGTCATAATACAGAAAGAAAAAAAAATGTCTGATGGAGGGGTGTGGGCTACAGCCTGATGATGAAAGATGGGCTGTCCCCTCTGACATTTCAGGCGGTCAGAGTCAACAGGACGACCACCACCCAGGTGGCTGAGTGGAGGGCCGGCCAGCCAGCAGACAGACACTGACCGAGCAGTATGCGCGCCGATTCGAACAGCTGAAGAAGAGAGCAGACGTCCCGCCGTTGGGGGCCATCAATCACACCCCGAGCTAAAAAACACCGGCGTGTGGAATCTGGCTGAAGGGAATCGAAAATTAGAAAAACAACAATAAAGCGCGATAACAAGAAATGCAGATATATAACTTGTCGGGAGACCTCACACACGCTGCTCCCTGACAGGACGAGCCTCAGCAAGCATAATAAACATCCAGGACAAAGTATTTTGTGCAAAGCAACGTTTGGCTCCCAGGGGAGAATCTGGGTCTCATTACGGATACGTGGGACGGTGCATGTGTGAAATGGGGAGTTGGACTCGTTTCTCTTCTTCGCTACAACAACAGCAGCGAAGTGCATCTGGATGCTCAAGCTATCAGTGAGCTTCGCCGACGTTCACATGGTTGTTAAAGGAGCGGTGAGGGAATCAAGTGTTAACATAAACCTCTCTCAGGAGAACAGCAGCGAAGGACCAGGACGTCTTTGGGTCCTAAAGCTGGAGAACCACTGGTTCCGATGAGGCGGCTCTTAATGGTCAAATTGACTTTTTAGAACTTTCCAGAGCAACGCCGCCGTCTCAGACGGAGCTCCTCCTCAGAGCTGCAGTTTCCAAGCTTCCAACTCACAGACCAGGCTCCTCCCTTCGCTCTCTATTTCCCCACTCAACTCCTTCAGACTAGCCAGCAGCAGGTAGCAAGCATGTCAGTGCAATGCTGGTAAAAACGTTGTTAAAGAGTTAATAGAGGATACGTGTTGTGACGACTTCCAGAAGGCGGCGATTCAGAAAGAGCAGGAGCTTCTTAAAGAGACAGAGGTCCAATCTCAGTGTGTTAAATTAGTCAAATCTGAAAGTCAAATTTCTTAGAAGTCATGCTTGATACGTATACCAACCAAAGGTAACATAATTATTTGACTGTGCTATAACATGGCACCACATTTCTGGAAAACTAACTTTCAGATTAACTTTATTCAAACTTTCCCAAAGTCCCAAGAAAACAGTTTGCATTTGCATATTTGGAGTAGAACCAAAAATGATTCTTGTTCGATTTAGTTGTAGAATTATTTTCATTTAACTAATCATTTTTTTCATCTTCATGCATCCAGTATTTCAATGTTTCATCAAAACTGACGAGATCCAAGTCTTTGTGACTAGAAGGTCTCCTTAAAATAATATTTAGAAGTGAAAGATTAGAGAACGTTTAAAAAAATATAAATTTACAGAAATTTGGCTATTTCAGAACAACTCTGTGTGAATTTATTACAAAAAAAATAAAATATATGGTTTTGATAATAAAAATACTGGCCATTCATGGAAATCAGAGTATCTACTTAGCTCAGAAAACACATCACAATTTGACTTTTTATTTCCCACAAGAACCACAATCATTATTCTCCTCTTCTGGCCCCTTTTCTGTGTCAACCAGTTCTACCTGTTCATGCAAACCTTTGCTTGTATATCATCATACACACTCCTGTGTGTGTGTGTGTGTGGGAGTGTGTGTTTTAGCAGTGGGCGTTTGGGGGTCCCACGGGAAGCCGCGCGGTTTCAGCACCTTGTCTCGTCTCCTGTTGTAGCGTTGACAGGACGGCGGCGAAGGGTCAGACGGGGTGAAGCGGAGAATTACAGCCAATCGGACGGTTGCCTCGTTAACCTCGCAGTGTGGCGCTATTTTTAATAAGTCCACTGTTTATATTTTGGGGTTTTTTGTGTTTTTTTT